ATTTCTCGCATCACAGGTTTCGATAGCCGAACGCAACCTCGTCCGCGAATTTCAGTGAGCGTAACACCCGCAGTTCACGCGGAAGCACTAAAACGACGCACAAACGCACGTTCATGGTTCTTGCGGAACGGCGCACCATGAACCGAAGTCGGAGCCCAAAAGCGCTCACCGTGGGTGTCTCGAATTCACGAAGCCCAGCAAACTATTCGCTGATCAAATGCATGCGTGTGGCACAAAAACAGTTCAAGGTTCCGAAGACGGTTTGCAAAAATACACTTGGTAGATATATACCGCCGCAAAAAGACTCACCTTCACGCGGTGGCGCTGTGGTGCAATGGGCAAGACATCTGCTTCACGTGCATGTGCTCCCGAGTTCGACTCCAGGGCTGTGCTTTGCATGTTAATCTCGCAAATATAGATGATTGTGATACTAATGGTTTTCAAATTCCCTGTAGTCGTAATATACGCTGCATTCTCGGCGAGAAACTCCTCTCAAAAGCGTAAAGCAATGCTTTTTTTTTCCGCCACCGCCACAGGGCCGGGCCGCCTACGGAAGTGTCACGCCTAACCGCAGGCCGTATCTTGCGAGGAAAACTTTGACTTAAAATCCCGGCTAAGCTTTGTCCCGGCTTTTCTGAAGGCCACGTAAAATCGGGCTGGTTTCTCTGGGACACGGCTACAGAGACGCGTAGAAGCGGCGATAATTTGACTTGATTTCCTGTCTGCCGGTGTGTAGTCCAGCCAGGTTTTGACTAAGAGTGTAGCCGTCCACTACGGCGTCTCTGATAATCATATGGTGGTTTTGGGACGCTGAACCCCACAAATCAGCCCCGCCGTGGTGGTCTAGTGGCTAAGTATACTCGGCTGCTAAACCGCAGGTCGCGGGTTCGAATCCCGGCTGCGGCAGCCGCATTTCCGATGGAGGTTGAAATGTTGTAGGCCCGTGTGCTCAAACTTGGGTGCACGTTAAAGAACCCCAGGTAGTCAAAATTTCCGGAGCCCTCCACTACGACATCTCTCATAATCAGATCGTGGTTTAGGGTCGTTAAACCCCACAAAATTAATTATTGGACCCTAAATATCAATCAATCAGTTTGACATGCGTACTTCCTGCCGCTTGATAAAGCGGATCCCATAGACCAGCCGTTATCTTACGTACTTGGGTTTTGCGATTTACAGTGCAGGTCGGAGCTATTCGGAGGCTAGGCTTAAGCATTCTACAGCGTCCCGAAAGTTTTAATGGTGTAGAGATGACCACCTGAACATTTGGTAGGATGCACGTAGGCAAAACGAAGTAATTTTACTATAGTACTTTCTGAATGGGCGTTTCTGGAAGTGGCTCTATTTGATATTTCGACTCTCCCTCTGTCCGTTTTCGATGCCGCACCTTACACTTCAAATTACGCGGTACCGTTTCTTCGCAGCTGTTGGAGCAGTTGGCCGCGAGCCAGGCCTCGCGTTGGCCCCAGACATGCGGCCGCCTGGTGTTCCTCTTCAGCGGCTACATGGTGTCCTCGATGGCGTTGCTGCTCCACTTCCAGACCTACGTCCACCAGGGGGACTTGTGCGCGCTGCACATGATGCTCGCCTACGCGACGTCACTCTCGTGCACGGCCGGAGCAGTGAGACCCATCTGGGAGACACATCTGGCCGGTCAGTGTCTGCAAACATCTCGGGCAGAATAACGTGGAAGAGTAACAGGTCTTGGGCGACTCGAGTTTCAGCTGGCACAACGCCAAGATAATTTTTAAGGAGCGATGCTCCTTAAGCCCACCGTTGCCGTCGAAGCACCCAGCGCCGGGCAAGCGCGCCGGGCAAAACAACAGGCTTTGGCAGATCGCTGCGTGCGCAGCACACGCTTAGTCGTTCCCGCCACCGGGCGCTGCAGACGCTCTCCCCATCCACTTCCTACGCTGCAGTCTTCATGAAATTCAGCAGCGAGGTCACACGCGTAGTGTGATTTCTATGGACCCTCGCTTATCGCTTGTAGTGGTACGCAGAACATCTGCTAACTTTAATGGGGAATAGGGATGCTGCAACGCAGTGTCTTCGGGGGGCAGGAGGCGGTGATGGAACTGGGGATCTTGTGCGTTGTGTATTGACTCCGTGGAAGGAGGTTTACTGACCGACGTCAGGTAGCAGGCAGTGAGCCAGCACAGCGAGAGTATATAGTCCAACAGTCTCGACGGCGTCGACAGCTAATGATCGGTGCTCGTGCTTCACACAAGACAGCGTCCCATAGATGAACGCCTTCGAGACTACTTCATGCGTTAGTTTTGAGGAGTCAGCGGCGGAAGAAAGGCAGAGAAAAATGTGATGGGTAGCAGCCCCTCACATTTCCGCAATCTCCCAAAGATGGTGAGCAGAAATGTTTTTCGGCGAGTGGGCGTACCTACACGATACGATGGGAGGACTGGACAGGCAAATGGTCATTTTGCTCTAGTATGCCATGACAAACGATAAAAATCGGGGGGGGGGGGGGGGGGGGGGGGCATGGGCCTGGTGTGCCGCGCCTTATATAAATACGCCACGAGATGTAACACAGCCTGCCGTAGTCACTCCTGTACTACCAGCACTCTTGACTACAGCAGTCATCCACATAATGTCAGCGTTTTCGTCCAGCGTTATTTATCGAGGTGACTGACTATAATTGGATGTAATGAAATACAATTTAGCTGAATATTTTCTCATTTTTTGTAAATTACCGCAGATTCTTGCCTTCATGTTTTATTAAATCATTCTTTCACATTATTCAGAATCTTGCCTGCTCTACCTTTCCACTTACCTGCATTTGAAAACCATATAGTTTTATTATGCTAAAACATCATATATAACATAGCGTGCCTCCAATAAATGAACGCCAAAGAAAATAACCGAACTTACTTTTGTGAATTAAGGTTCAGCAGTCAAAAAAAATTGCACCATCTCCCACTAAAAGGAACCATGCGATGACGCGAAGCAGCACTGGTGTTCACTTGCGCTTGCATTTGTTGTTTCCATATGTATGTTTCATTAGTGTGTGGAGTTGCGTATATGTTGTGTACCGCTTACGTTACCTGTCCCCCCTTCCCATTTGTATGTGTTACCGTGTGTGTTCCGCAAAGGGAACGCCCAGTACTGCAAGGATACGAGCGCACAGCTGTGACCGAGAGATGAACGGGAGAGGAGAAACAAAGCGGACACAGCGCTCTACCACTTTCTCCATCCCACCTCCTCGCGCTCACGCGAGGAGGGCCCTCGGCGACCGTCCTCACCCCCGACTGCGCATGAGCCAACTCTCTCTCCTCCGACCTCCTCACGCTTGCGAGAGATAAGAGGGAGAGTTTACGCATGCGCAGTAAGGGTGGTCACGCCACACACCGGATTGAAATACGCCATACATCGCTTCGCATTTAAAACATCGTACTCACACACGTTGTCACCCAGACGCTTGCAGCAGGAAGGCACCACAGAAAATCTCGTCACATTGCTTGATAAGGAAATGTTCCAGTTGACGAAAAATTCGTCCCGTTTGTAATTCGAACAGAGGATCAACACCTTCATGGTGCAGGACTACCCTCAAGGCACGAGTACGAGAGACCGGACCCGGGCAAATTTTTCATGTGGGACGCGTTATTTCCTACAAAATTCACATTAAGTTCCTCATGGCTTCTCTCTACAAACGGGTGGTGACAAATTTTTTGTCTTTTTCTCATTTCAAGCACCTTATACAAATTTGCGGACCTCCGTAGAAGTAAGTTGCCGGAATTCATATGACTCATCATTCAGACTTCGTTTTTTCTTTCCTTCCCTTTCGCGCGCTAGGCTTCGTATCGGCAGCCATGCTGGTTTGGCCCGTCGGTCGGATTGACCAGTTCGACGGCGCCCTGGCCTGGGCCTCCCTAACCCTGATGCTGGGCTGCTCCGCGGCCACCATCTCCTTCGTCGCGGCTGCTTTGAGACCGAGCGGGATGCGCGTGAGGAGTCGACGCTGACAGCCAGTTAACGCACAATCTTAGCGCTGAAAAGATGCAACCCGCTCTACTTGCCTTTGCTTTAGAGCTTGGCGCGTTGTTGATGTTAATAAATATGCTTAAATATCGGCCGACATTAGCGGTTTGTTTATGGCTACACACGTCGACTACATTAAACGTACCCACAGACGGGTGTCGCCATCTTAGCGAATTCTCACGCGGTGGCCACCAGGGGCGCAGCCAGGTTTTTTTTTTTTTGAGGGGGGGAGTGTCAGGTGGAGGGAGGGGGTCAGAAATACTTTAAGCTCGTACGTGCGTTTGTATACGTGCAAAACTGGAAATTTTCGAGGAGGGTTTGAACCATATCCTCCCTCCACCTCCCCCGTTGGCTACGCCCCTGGTTGGCACACTTCGATGTAGGTGAACTGCTAAAATATCTTTTGCTTATATTTAGGTGCGGATTAAGGAACCCCCATGGGGTGGAAATTTCCGGGGCCCTTCGTTATGGCGTCTTTCATAATCATGTCGTGGTTTCGGGGACGTAAAACCCCACCAGTTCTTACTACATACCCGGTCCAAAAAGCAACGCAGTGGACGTTAATGGAAAAGCTATCCTATAGACTATTTTACGGATGACTAACGGTGCCACTTGGGTGGGCTCTTAACTTGGCTTTTCTGTTATATTTTTCAACTTTACGAACAGTGCTACGGTAGATGCATATGCATGAAAATATTTGGGTTAGTGCAATAGAAGTTCCATCTATACAGCAGTCATGCGTCTGATTTGTAAACCGTGTATTGAAACATCTCCAGACCCGATAGCAGACTCATGCTTGAAACCTTCCAGTCGGGATTGCCTTTGCGAAGTAGCTAAAGGTCGCTATCTGTTAATCATAGATGGTTCCACAATACCTGTCCTCCGACAGGAGCACCGTATACATACCGTCGGAACTTGACAATCGATGTCCTTGTAGAGGGACAAGGGGTCAGAAATCCAGTACTTGTAATAGACTGGCACGGGCAATGCTTAAGAAAAAATCGCAGCCATTGTTTGCTCGGTTTCTTTTATTGCGTAGTGAAGCTTTTTTTTTCTTTTAATCTCCGCTTCGTATGTACAGTCATACACACACAATCAGGGATCATTCATTCGTAGATTTTTTTTTTCTTTTTGTACACAGACATCACTCAATGAACGTCACCGGTGGCACTATTGTCACCAGGCGCTCAGACTTCTTGCGTCGTCAATTTTTTTCTTCGCGTGTAATGTGTGTTTGCTCTACAAATCTCGCGTAAATATGGCTACTTTGTTTGCCAGACATATAAAAAAAGACATCCAAAAATTGGGGCATGGGACATATCTATTCAGATGCACAGAGAGAGAGAACAAATGGGCATTTACGCTACCACAATACGCCACGCTCTTGAGAGTTACACAGCCAGACCTACAATCATGTGCACATCAAACAAGAACAAGAAATTTCAAGGTAGAATAGGTTCTTGAGGGATGGTTATCAAGGCCATCATTTAAGGCCATCCATCACTGATACACACCACTCATGACCTTTGCTGATGGCCAAAACTCTCGGACCTGCGTCTTTCAAATTTTCTACTATTCCGTGGCGAAAGTTCAAGCACTCACCAACTTGGATGCAGGGCCCGAAGAAGTAATTGTGTTTTCTTGTTCAAGTCAAAGAACCTTGAAGGTGATGGAGGTGAAGCTAATAATTTATTGTTTTGCCCATCAAAAGTGGACGACCCTGTATAGAGCACAACCGCAGAAGCTTCTTGAACATTAGCATGCAGCGAAAGAGGCAGAGTTGAATGTCTTCTGAACACTAACAAAACCCATCTGTTTGCTGTGCCAGCTGACGAAAAAGGTTCCCCTTTTTGGGATACCCTGGGCACTTGACAAACGCTCCTAACCAAACGGTAGAAGATGTCTGAACGGAGCGTGGGAGTGTACGTGAAGATAAGGCTGCGTACTCACCAGAAGTGGCTCGCTTCACTACTTCAGTGGTACGGCCTGTGCCAACTCATACGTGTCACCTCATTCACATGAACACGAAAGGGCAGTGAGTATCGACACCTTTGCAAGGCTGGCTTGTCTTGTGTAGCATGTCGTGGGCTTATTGGCAGTTTCAAGATTTCTTACTTAGCGCCGGCTAAAGTGTGCATCTTTTTTATACGTTCCCTGCAATAGATATAGCCAGGGTAAAAATTGTTCTAGGGAGAACTGTTGTAAGGCTCGCCTACCGTAAATTCATGCTTACATGATCATGCTTGTGTTCTGGAAGCCTGAATGACAACCAGTGATGCAGCTTTTGGAGCTAAGTGCCTCTTGCATTAGCTCTGTACGCACACTGTTGAAAATGGCTCGTGTGGTAGAGTCGTACCAATGCGAAGTTTGTTCGACTGAACCTATGAAAAAGAAAGTTAGTGATGATGTCCTTGCCCGATGATCTAGCTATGACGGTGCTCTGCAGCAACAGGCTTTTCCGTCAGTAAAAATATTGAGGCATGAAATTGAACGAGACCCATGGCCGCGCAGTGTACAATGTCAACACAGTTCCGTTTAAAAAAAAAAGACACACATCTATCCAAATACGTGTGTGCCCCTTAGATAAGAATGCGCGTAGCATAGAGGAATCAAATAAATGATAAGTACAAGAGCCATGGGCAGGTTGTAAGAGAATATCACATAAAAAAACACAGAACTTTGATCAAAGTTTCCAAGGGCGTGGCCCAGTGACGTCTTCATTTTTAAAATGATAAAAAACAGCTATAACAACATTGCTAGTTGTCGAGACTGTCACATACCAGTAGGATGAAAATCACTCAGCACAACGGCACCCTCAAGTAAAAAAGTTCTAGACAACAAAATGCACGAGCTAGACGCCTTAAAGACATCCTAGGAGTACAAGGCGTACTACACCCATACAGATGGCATAAAGAAGTAGGCCCGTACATGGAAGAAGGCCCATACACGTCATCGTGAGCATCGCCGCGAAAGACACGGTATACGAAGGCTCTAGGTCAATACTAAGAATTCGAAATTACCAATCTGCTCCACTCGTGGTAGTAAAGAAAAAACAACCAAGAAAAAAACGCACGATTTGTTTCATCATTACGGTCCCGTACGAGCCACGTTTCTAAATATCGAACAGCCAACGAGAAGAACCTGTCAAAACACGTATTGCTCTTGTAGTAGATATTACTAGTACGGTACAACGCACACATGACAGTCTTCTTTGCATTTAGAACACGTGGACATAGCGCAACAAATTACCGAAAAACGTCAGCGCTCAACGCCAAAGAATTCCTCTGATAGCATCCACGTGAATGTCGGCATTCAAGGCTCGTATCGAATGGAGCATAGATTATACAAAACTAGACAAATAAAGACATGCAGATTTAAACGAATAAGGCTAAGGAAGAAATCGGCCGAAGAACGAGGCAACGACGATTGTCTAAGGACATTTAAGTGGGTCATCCAGGTGCACCAAGAACAAGGTGCACCAAGGCGGTCTTAACGCATCTAGTCAAGGCGCCACCGGGAGTCAATGTGGGGCCGAGGTCTACGTGACACGTCGAAAGACGCCGACACAGAGTGAACCTGGTCGATTCGGTGTGGTCGTCTCGAAGTGCGTCAGTGCAATGGGTTCACACAAGCTTGGGAAGACCCATTGACGTCGGGCCTCAAGTGAGACTGCTGAAAGACACGACGCAGTTCGTCGAACTCGACCACTCTTGGCGTCGCCAGTGAGGCAGTTCAGGTCGTACCGCCTCTGTACCGATAGGTCGTCGTCCCGCGCGTTTTCAAAGCGCGCGTGCACACACCGTTCACGTCTTCTCACCAACCTCAAAAGGACTAGCCGTTCACCACAAGAAACCTTTTTCACGAACGTTGCGTGTGAATCGGTGTACACGTCCTCGCACAAGCGCGTCCTTTTTTTTTTCGAACACCATTGCGTGCGACCTGTCCAGTTTAACCACTCGCAAAAACCTCACCAGCTACGGGTCCTTGAGGCCAATGTCCCAAAAGCTAGGCCTTGCAACCGCGTTAAGTTCATTGACAAGCGTGAAGACATCATGAAAAAACAAAACAAGAGAACATTCATTGCTCATTTCTACAAGTGTATAGAATAGGCTAATAACAACATTCACGATTCAAAGCATTCGCACTGAGAACCACAAAAAAGCAATATAAAAAAAGACAACGATCGCAGCAAACGGCCGCTTGATTCCGTCTCCGCGCCGTGATGTCTTGGCGACCCTGGCTTGGCTTGGCCGCTGAAGGATTGCGGCTTTCCTTTGTCTCTCACCGCTTGCCCTTGCCCTTGATGCCGAGAAACTTCCAGAACGAAGGTTGGTTGGACGAGCACGACTCTGTGCGTGTGGCGTTGTTGTTGTCCTCGACGGCGGGCTTGTTGTTGGGCTCCTTGAGCATGTCCAGGAAGGTCTGGTCCGATCGCGCGATTTTGGCCCTCGTCAGGGTGATGACCTGTGGCTGCTGGGCGGAAGGCTGCCGGTTGTGGTTGTTGTTGTTGACCGCGTTGTTGCACAGAACCTTGGGGTCCTCCACGAAAGCCTGCGGACAGAGTTGGAATGGTTAGAGAGTAAGCTCAAGGTGTGACGCGAGGGCACGAGACAAGCTTATTGTCAGTCAGTCGCTACGGCTAAGCAAGCAATTGCACCCTAAAAAGATCACGCATTACATGGTGAACTTGCGCCCAGAAAAAAAGACATTCAAAGTGCGTCGGTATCGGCGCGCACAACAGTCCTCCAATAATCTGGTTGTCTGTAAAATGCCTCAGCTTTGTACACCTCTTATCGAAGCACCCGGCGTTGTTGCTGGTGCTCGTGGTAGCTCTAGAATCAAGTTCACCGATGCGACAGTTTTGTAATGCTGGTAATCCATTTTGAAGGGAATTCTTGTCGCCTCCACGCTAGGACAATCATCATCATCATCATCCTGACTACGTACATTGCCGGACAAAGACCTCTCCCATGTTCCGCCCGTCAACTCGGTCCTGTGCTTGCAGCTGCCACTTTATACCCGCAAACTTCCTAATCTCATCTGCCCACTTAACTTTTTCTCCCCCTCACCCGCTTACCTTCTCTGGGAATCCAGTCAGTTACCCTTAATGATCAGTGGTTATACTGCCAATCACGTGTTGACAAATATATGACAATCATGAGTTGTCAAACAAGACGCACTATCATTAGAAATACGAGAACAGTAAAGGTCCCCTGAACCACTCAGAGATTGCAATTTAGTTGTGTTTGCAGTTGTGCGGGAGCCTACAACAACCACGAGGCTGCGGGAGTTTGACAAAATACTGCCGTGATTGGGTGTTGCATGCGTTTCATCGTGGAAGTGCACGCTAGCTCGTCACGATCTTTCCTTTGCTACGCTTCGCTCGTTGACTTATTTGCTGTCCTGACCGGATGTCCTTACTGGCGGTGCGAGAAGAATAAGCAGGGAGCTCGCGTACCTGCTTGCAGACAGATATTTTCTGTGGCTGACATGGTCATGTTTTAGTGACGTCACGGCCACAACTGGGAATACCTGAAGACTTGAAGGCGAGCCGGGTAATTCTTTTTTTTTTTTTACAATTTTCAGAGGCCCCGCACCACGTAGCACTTCCACTTTTGGCACTGTTCATTGGGACGGAACTCTGAACAGGATGCAGGCGTTCCCTTGAAATGTAACTATATATACTGGACGTTTAAAAAAAGTGTGAGAAATTTTCAAAAATCTAGAAAATGCGATATCCGATATTCGCCTTCACAATTGCTTTCTTCAATGCAGTGACAGGTATCTTACGATTGGTAAAAACATCATTGGTGACTGTACTTAGGACCGTTAGGTGAATAACTTTTTTTAAACAGTTGAGCTAGGTAGTTATGCCAAATGGGAGAATTGAAGTCCTGTATGTGAACAACCCAATGCAGCTTTGTCAGATTTCGATGAAGTGACTTCTACTAAATATTGTGCAGTGACGAAATTCACCGGAATTCGGCGGTGAAACAGAAACCGAAATGCCAAAGAGCGCTGCTACCATATTCATCTGGGATGCCCTGAATGAGGGAGCGCCGTCATGCCGACCACCAACCGACTTCGCGGTGTGAGTGTGCGAGCTGCGCTTGCCGTTGATTGATTTGGTGATTTGATTGATATGTGGGGTTTAACGTCCCAAAACCACCATATGATTATGAGAGACGCCGTATAGGGGAGGGCTCCGGAAATTTCGACCATTTGGGGTTCTTTAACGTGCACCCAAATCTTAGCACATGGGCCTACAACAGTTCCGCCTCCATCGGAAATGCAGCCGCCGCAGCCGGGATTCGAACCCGCGACCGGCGGGTCAGCAGCCGAGTACCTTAGCCACTAGACCACCGCGGCGGGGCCTGCGCTTGCCGTTACACCACGCGTGTCGCACATACGTTGACAAACGTTGAAGAACTTGCACCTCTGCAATCGCTGTCTCGAACAGTGACGTCAATCAGGTCGTCAGCTAGTTGCGCTCATCGGCGTTTCGTTTTCAGCTTGGCCATTGAAGTTGGTTGAATTTCATTGCGTAACATAGATTACTAGAGGCTGCTTTCACTATATCTTAAAGGTGTGAGGGGTTCTTCCCACGATGTACTCAAATTCCCGCATTTGACATAACCGCCTAAGTCCACTGATTAAAAAGTCAATTGATGTAACTTTATTAACGACTGTCCTAAATGATGTGTTTAACTTTCTTAATATGGCTACTGTATTTGGTTTTGTTAATTATTTACGACACGCACGTTATTATTCTGTGCAGTGAGTGCGTGTATGGTGCTAGATCGAGGCCTAGTCAGGTAACGTTTCTTTCAGCGCTACCTTTTGCCACCCGCGCACTGACAATCTTGTATTGTTGCACAAACGAAGAAATACAAAGTAAAAAAATAGCAGTCGTGAAGGCAGCATGCAAAGGTGGCATTTTCTTGACTACTCACAATTTTCGACACATCTCTTGAAACAGCCCGTTATATATATATATATATATATAAAGAACACAAGCGAGTACACGTACGAAAGAGCAATACTTTTATGCCAACGTTTCAGCCGTGGCACGGCCTTCGTCAGGGAATCAATCCTAGTCAGGTATATATATATATCCTATATATATATATATATATATATCCTATATATCCTATATATATATATATATATATATATATATATATATATATATATATATATATATATATATATATATATATAATATATATATATATATATATATATATATATATATATATCGAATGGGGAAGCCCATATTCGTTTTCACAACCTGAGGCACTTTTGCATAAATATAAGCTCAAAGTACACTGTGGTTATAAGCATTCGGCTCTCATCAAGGTGGTGGGAACGTCATGCCATGGAATCGAACTCGTGTCCTATAGAGCTCAGCACCCTCACACCTTAGTCCCTAATCTACAAGGGCGTGCGTAGGAGCCCCAGTGGGATTCATGTACTGTCGTTAAATCTGAAATATTTTTCAAGGGGTGTTAAATGCCAATGGTAAAATTAAAAAAGAACGCCTGCACCCACGGAATATCCTAGTTATTCTACTGCTTTAGGTAAAATGAAGGATTTCTTGTTTCATTTATTGTGATATCTACATGAAAATATGAGGGTATACACGTGACGTCCGAGTGCGTTTGGTGCCTTTTAAAGACCACTAACACGTCGTTGTTATACGGCGTCAAAGACATCAACTTCCTGACGGTATACTAAACGAAATCCCGGCATTACCTGGGTAAAAACCTGCGCGATACTTCACCTGAGCCAAGTTGCGGCTGATCTGCTTCCGTATCGTCTTCTTCATGGACAGGTGGCGCTCCAGGTGCCGGAAGTCGCGTTCCGTCAGCGCGTTCGGCTGGGGGCCGCCAGGGGTGCCTCCTCCGACGGCAGTCTTGTCGGGGTGCCAATTCTGGTTGGACTGCTGCTGGTTGTTGGGCGCGTGGTGGCGCGGAGCGGGCAGTGGACTGTCCGACTCCTTCCGCCTGGACCGCGGTGAGTGGTCGTAGGCGCGCATGTCGCTGAACACGTCCCGAACGTGGGGGATTCGACGATCCATCGCGGTTTGTCACCGACTCATCAGATTCGTCCTCACTACCAACAGGAGATCGCCTGCGACAGAAGAAAAAAAGACAGAGTTATTGCGTTAGAAGTATGACCCTCGGCTCGGATCATCCCCTGATTCAGTCTGTACATACTAAGGAAGAAAGACAGAATTATTGCGTTAGAAGTATGACCCTCGGCTCGGATCATCCCCTGATTCAGTCTGTACATACAAACATAACTATAAATGAAATGTTACGGCGGGAAATTTCAGCTCGATGACACTCTAGAACCAAGGCCCGATGCTCCAACTACCGCTATGATAACGTCACTTTATATCGTATAGGTGCACAGGAAGGTACGACACTATGTCAAAGTCGAACAAGACACCAAAGCTGTTATATCTTCTCTCACGGGTAAACGCGCGATTTTCGTTTTTTTTTTTTTTATTCTGCGTCTCCGGCTCTTAGTCATCCCCGAGGGCAACGTCCTGGCGGGTTAAAATCTTTTCAGCAGTCAGGTTAGGCTTCGAGATACCGCCACGCCTCTATAGGGTGAAGCACAACACAACCCTCGCTTCTCACGCTTTGGCGTGTAGTCCCGAAACAATGATATTGTATAGGCTATATATATCTACGCAGATCTACCCACCGTCCATTGTCACGGGTATTGTTACGCGCTCGCTCCACCTCCCATCACGTGCTTAGTGAAAAGAACTGTAAATGGGAACACGCATTGTTGCCAGACCATTTCGTATACGTCAGGCTACTTCGTCTACTACACTACTAGTTTTGCTATTTCGTGTGCCGGGATATTTCTTCAGCCGTTTTGTCTACGGGACTTCTTAGTTTGTCGGGCTATTTCATCAGGGAGGATGTCGAAGCCTTCTGCTTGTTGGCTGCGGTAAATGCGCCCTCTGACGTCACATTTTTTTTTTTTTAGCGTCGAAAGGCTTAGTTATTGCAGCGTGCAAATGATGGGACAAGACGGACAGTTCACTGAAGATAAATGAAGAAGAAGCCATGGACAAAGAAGTGAAGTAAAGTAGAGAGTTACTACAAGACAGAACAGCCTGGTGGAATATATAGTTAGTACTGTATATCCCGAGGTATTGCCGAAAGAAAAAACGATGCTGGGCGACAAAAAAAGAAGAGAGAAAGATAAAAAAAGCACTAATTGTGTGTACGTCACGAAGCCGGCCTTGGCAAGTTAAACTCCTTGCGAAGCCATTGGCAGGATCCGCTTTCTTCCCCTTGAAGTATTGGCCCGACACGGACGTGACCTCCGAGACCGGCAGTGCGTGTGTTGGTCAAGAATCTCTGTTCGGGCGTGTTGCTGTGCAGTTTCGTGCGCGCTGCAATCGTTCCGATGTGGCGCTTGCGTGTCAGGCTGTTTTCTCTCACGTGTTGCGCCATCTCTATTATACGCCAGCAGCCGAAAAGGTCCACACACACCTGAAACAGTTCTAGAGGAGCGAGAAATTCGGGGAAATCACTTTATATTCCGCGAGACGATGGTAAGAATAAAGGCTGCAATCCAGAGGAGGAGAGAAAGAGGAGTAAGGTGGGAGAGAGAAGTGATGAAAGGAAACGGGAACAAACGCATGTGTACTTTCGATAAACACACGCGCGTTACACAAAGCATTACGCGATTCGCTCTGCGGACCATGACCGGTGCCGCAGAGTGAACAGATTGCTCAACGAAGACTGCGGCAAGCTCACGAACGCACGTTCTAATGTGGTGCCCAGCGAGAACTTAATTGCGATTCCAGAGGAGCGCGAAGAGCTAAGCGCGGCAAAAGGGAAAGAGCGAAAAAAAAAAAAAATGGCGCTCCCGCTACCCGAAGACAAAAGGCGATACGTTTCAGCGCGAACTTTTTCGTGCGAGCCCCCACGCGGGAAGGCCGATAAACAGGCGGAGAAACAGACGGCCAAAGGCGGAGCAGACGAAACGCGAAGATGGAGGCAGACGCAACTCAGGTGGCAAGCGTGGAATCTCGAGAGAACACAAAAAACACGGAGCGTTAGAGGTCACGCTTCGCGTAGCGCGCACCGTGTAAGGGCGCCAATTTGTGAGGAGGTCCACGCGTCTGCGTTATACACACCGGCGTTTCTCAGGCGAATCGCGGCACGCATGCAGTGCCAAGAATTCGAGAAGCAGCGGACGAGACGAAAAACAAACAAACGAACAAAAACGCCTTCTGTGGACTGTGTTATATACCGCGTCTGCACATTTCAAAGCGCGTGGGCGGACCACTCCCTAAGTATAGCTTCCGCGCGCGCTGATGTCGTGAACCGGAAGCGACTGAAGACAAGGCCTTCGTCTGTGTTCTTCGTCTGCTTCCGGGGCTGGTGGTGTTTACGATTCCCCTCTTGTTATGCCGTCAGGAGATTGCGCGCTTCGCTCGTGAGCGGACGAGAAAGGGGGCTCTACGTGCAGCTGTAAAGCCTGACGGACATAAGAAGCTAGCGATCCGCTTCGAATGAGAGCAGACGTCAGATGGAGACAGCAAGGACGACACTCACGCCGCTCCGCGGCAATTTGAACACGGGGCCGACGACACAGAAGCCGCCTCTGCGTATCCAAACGAAACACAGAAACACAGACAGAAAGTTCGATCACTGCCTCGACACTGAAGACATTGTTGGTTTTACACCAGCTGATAGCCCGCACCGGCTATAGTTTTCCAACGCAATCCGAGAGTGGTATCACGCAGCGAAATCCATAGCGATTCTTAAACACTTTGACGCGTTTCGCCTCCATTAGCTGGTATTCGCTGGAAATCTCGTGGCCACGTCTTTTGACCAATGAAAGAAGGGTAATGGCGGCGAAAGGCATACAAAAGTATCACAGAATCGTACGGGAAGTTTTCTGCAATGAGACCCAAACATTATCAACCATGTATTTTTCGTTAATTAGCATTATCAACCACTAGCCACTGTTAGCAAAACACTAGCCTATCCTACATCGACCAGCATAAGCCAACATTAGCTACATAGCTCAACCAGTGCTGGTGGACATGCGAGCGAATAGGTTGGTTAATTCGGTCAGAAATTCCCATCTTTCTTAGCTGGAGGTAGTCACTCGAAAAGAACCCGGAAGACATTATCTTGTTTAAAGGAACAGGTACACATTGTTGAGCTGTAGTAGAATTCAGCTGCCATATCTGCTGCCGAGTACAGCGCGCATACAGATTTTACAATCCAAGCTACCCGCGCACATATGCCTCGTTCAGAAATGTCGAGCCGGTCTGCCAGTGTCCCCGAGAGGACCAGAAGCAGGACATGTGGCGGCTGCGGGCAAAGGCGAAGAACAAGAAAACGAAACCGAACTGCTCATTGCGCGAGACGCTCGGACCGCACGAACAAAGCGGCCGGCTCCCTGGATAAGTGCCGGACAGGAAAGAGGGGTGATGCCAGCGAAGGCGGCCAGTATACTCCATTGTTTTCGAAGCCCGCTTCTAGCGAGAGAAAGAACAGGCGGATACGTTCGAGTGCTGCCGCGCCGCCCGCCTGCTTTGCTTATATGCAGGCGGCTATAGGCCTGCTTCTGAAGCGCCGGCTTGCCCACTCCCCGTGTCTCGCGCAGTGTGGATGCCAGAGGATGGAGCGCCGCGCCGCGCCTTGGTGCGTGCATTTCGTGACTTGGCTTGGATCGAGGGCTGGCTGGCCCGCTTCTTCGGCGAGCGTTCAACGAAAGTTCCGTAACGTCACTCTCTTTAAACAGCGGGAACGCTTCGAAACGTCAATCCGCCCAAAGCAGAGTGCTAAGCCGAACTAGCAGGCACATCATAATAATACCTATAGGTTTTACATGTTAATACTGCCACGTGATTAGGAGGATTGCTGCTGTGGACAGCTCCAGCAATTTACAGTAGAGAGTTTTAGTACTGCGTACGCTGCGTACGTGGCAGCGTTGCGTACGTAAGGACGCCACGTTCTGCGTAGTGCGCATGCGCAGACCGCAACGCGCGCGTATCGCGTTACGTACGCAGCCGCTACGTACGCACGCATGAGATGCGTGCGTGCGTACGTATGAGCTGATCGTGCCGCTCTCGAACAAGTTCGCGACAGCGCGAGACTTCGTTTTGCAAAATGGCGGCATCGAAGGCAAGCACCGACCGGCTCTGTGGCTTAAAATATGGCTGTAACACTTGGATTGGCTCACGTTGGCTGTCAACAACACGTGCTTCTATTTTGATCTACCAGATGGCGCAACACGCTTCACGCTCGTTACGTACGCGGGTACTACGGCGTACTAAAAGCCGATTAGTGGCAAACGACGCCACGTAACGCAAGGCGCTTGCGTGATGCGTACGTAGCACCATTCCGCAGTACTAAAACTCTCTAGCGTCTGGTGCTCTTCAACGTCCACGAAAATCACGCAGTAAACGGGCCGCTGTAGCATTGCGCATTTTGTCAGAATGCGGCTGCAAGAATCGAACCCGCGACTTTCAGGTGAGCAGCCGAGCATTGTGACCATAACGCTGCGGCAGACTTGCAAGGAGGTGACCAGCATGCATGATGGACGCGGTGGACGACACGTTAGCGAATCGAACGGTTGACAAGGGCGCGTAGACAGGAGGTGACACTCTGTAATCCCCCACCCCCCCACTCCCACTCCTATTTTTTTTTCGCCGCGACATAGAAAGCGAAAAATGACCATTTAAAGGAGGCGTCCCTTTCCAAATCAAGGAGGTGTCCCCCTCCCCCACCCCGAAAACATTTTCTGGCCACGCCCCTGACGGGGGGAGCAACTTCGAGAAAACCACAAGCAAACAGACTCAGACATTAAAACGACATAGGGACATCGCATTGTAAAGCAAGAATCAGGTACTGTGTGGGGATGGCTTCATGAAGCGTCACATTCGTCAGTTACAGATTGTCAGCAAACACTTGGGATTAGAAAAAAAAATTCCTTTGACTGTTTTCTATTGGTAGTTCAGGTTTGAGATGCATATACCCTCTTAAACGCTACGCATGTATTCATCACACACCCGTCAGATGGAGTTAATTCGCATTTTCAAAGAGAGTAAGGTACTTGGCGAGTTTGTACTCAACAAAAGCATT